TTGAGATCTCACAGCTATGCAGCTCCAGGGTCCTCAGCGTGCTGGGCAGGCTGGTGATGGGCACCATGCTCAGGTCAGCCACGTGCAGGCACAGGCGCTTCAGGTTGGGGCACTTCTGGCCCAGGGCCCTCATCAAGGCAGGGGACAGCTGTGGGGCCTGAGAGCCAGAGAACAGGTAGCCGCCCAAGCGCAGCGAGTGGAGCCGGGACGCCATGTACCGGCGCAGAAGGTGCCACATGACTTTCGGACGCATCTGTAAGAGCCAGAGATTGGGGTGACTGGGTGAGAGGTACCAGGCTCCCAGAAGATTCACCTAGCTGGTGACAGACTTGTTTGGGACCTGGGTTCTGGTGTCCACCTGGGGTTCGGCTCTTCTGCCAGCTTCCTTCCCTAAACCAATGCAGTTTCTTTTGCTGGGTATCAAGACTCGTGCCCTTAAACCCAGTCAGCACATGAGGGAGGTTGAGGCAGAAGAATCCACAGTTCTGACCAGCCTGTCTAGTCAACCAGTAAGCTCCAAGTTCAGTGGAAGATCCTGTCTCAAACACAAACAAATAAACAAGGCAGAGTCCAGGGTTGTGGCGCACACCTTTAGTCTCAGCACTGGTGGGTGCAGAGGCAGGGGGATCTCTCTAAATTCCAGGCCAGTCTGGTCTACATACCAAGTTTCGAGTTACATAGTGAGACCTTGTCTCAAAACAAAATAAACAAACACACACAAACACACACACACAAACACACACACACACACACACACACACACACACACACACACACACACACACACGAGAGGGAAAAAAAAGTCTCGTAGGACAAGTGATTCACTGTTGTACTGGGATGGAATCCAGGATCGGATGTATATTTAGGACATGCCGTGAACTCAGCTATACCCTAGCTCAGATCATACACTTGTTTGTGGTGGTACTGGGGAATGAACTCAGGACCTTACACAGGCCAGGAAAACACTCTAGGACTAAGTCAGGGTTCCAGGCCTTTTCTGAATTTGTATTTCAACACAGGGTCTAGCTAAGTTGCCCAAGCTGGCCTTGCATTTATGATCTTCCTCCCTCGGCCTTCGTAGTAGCTGGGATTACAGGCTGTACCAGACTCAGCTTTATGGTATAAATTTTGTTGACCATTTTTTCAGAGAGAAATTAAATGTTTTTCTTTTTCAGTTATTTTGATAGTTGCTGGAGAGATGACTCATTCTTTTGAAAGGTGTCTTTATGACTTTCTCTATTGTGTTACTATAAAATTTCACTGGGTGGTAGTAAACAACACCTTTAATCCCAGCACACAGGAGATCTCTAAAGTTCAAAGCCAGCCTGGTTGGTCTAGAGAGTGAGTTCCAGGACTCACAGAGGAACCTTGTCTCAAAATAAATAAATAAATAAATAAATAAATAAATAAATAAATAATCTCATGTAACTGTTATGTTTGAACATGTATTTTAGGAAGCCTAACTGTATTTTCAACCATGATCACTCACATTTGGCTCCAGAATAAATTCTTATCCACTTTGAGGTTAACAGTTATAGCCAGAATCTATCTATGGGATACATGAGACCCATCTCAAAAACCAAAACAGAACAACAAAACCAGAAAATTAATAATAGTTTTAAGTTTGCATTTATCATATGCTGGAGACCAGACAATGGTCTAAACCATCTCCCTATGCATTTGGCTAAGTCTTCTACAACACGCCAGGCTGGCAGGTCCTTTTTTTTCTCGGTGTTAGGGATGGAGCACTGGGCTTCACCAGGGTCAAGCAAGCACTCTTTTAAATCCCCATTTCTTGGATAAGAAACTGAAGTCGGGGGGTTGCTGGGGAGCAGGTAAAGGCTAGTGCCAGGACAGACATGCAGGAAATCCCAAGCATGAACTCACTTCAAAACCAAAGCAGCCAGCTGGGCACGGTGGCACTCGATCTGCCTTTAGAGGCAGGGGCAAGAGGATAAGGCAAGTTTCAGGACAGCCAGAGCTACAAACCAACCCTGTCTCACGGGGAAAAAAAACAAAAACCAAACACTTCCTGGGCCAGACAAGATGGCCTACACCTGTAACCTTAGCACTCAGGAGGTTGAGGAAAGGGGTAGTGAGTTCCAAGAACACGGCTCAGTCAGTAGAGTGCTTTCCTAGCATTTAGGAAGCCTAAATTCCATTCCCAGAATCACAGAAACCAGTCACGGGAGCCCACGCTGGTAATCCCAGTGTTTAGAAGGTCGAAGTAGATCAGACGTTCATCCTCAGCATCCTAGGAAGCTGGAGGCCAGTCTGGGCTTTTGACCCTGTCTCAAAACAACCTCCCCTCCCCCAAAGGAACAAACAAACAAAAAATATAGAAAAATAAGTAAAACATAAGCTCCAAATAAACAAAAGCAAACAAACACTAGAAAGCAAAACAAAGCAGACCCCACTTCTGTCCCAGGGAGGAGGCTGGCTCTCCGCGCACCGCCCGCGGGTCCCGCGTACTGCATACCGTGTAGAGCGTCAGGTCGACATGTCGCCACAACCACCGATCGTCCACCAGCCTCTTCCAGCGGTGACAGACCCTGGAGGAGTGGACCGGCCGTTAGAACGACCCCGCCCGCTGGGACCGGATTCGCATCTCCTGCCGAGCCCCTGCCCGGCTCTTTCCCCCGAGGAGCGGGGCCGCACCTGGAGATGCGGATCCGGTCCCGGACCGGGAGGTAAGAGAAGATCTCCAAGAGCACCAAGTCTGGGAGGTCGAACAGCGTCGCCATGGTCCTGCTGTCCCGCGCTTCCGTTTCCGGTGGTGGTGAGGCCCGCAATCCCCTGAGGTCGCTGAGGTGGCCGGACTGGCCAAACCGGCGCGACTTTCGGAGGCCTGTCGAGGAGCCCTACTGTCCCTTCCTAGGGAAGGGACTGAGGCCCGGGACTGCACCGGCCCGGCTTCACCGCCGGCTGGAGGCCGGGACTGGTGACTGACTAGGCCTGACTAGCTCGGCCACCGGGTGGAACGGAGGGTAGGCAAACCCAGAAGGTGTGGCTAGAGGGAGGTGAGTGAGGAGGGGACACGAGGCGGGGCCGGGGCCAGGGCCGGGGTGCAAGGCGAACAGCAAACCCAGAAGGCAAGGCTCGGGCGGGGGTCGTCCGGGGGCGTGGCCAGGAGGTGGAGCCAACTAGAAGCTGCAAAGCCAGAGGGGCCGGGGCAACCCAGAAGGCGTGGCTCCTGCAAGGAGGGGCTCGGGGCGTGGCCAGAGCCCGGAGACGTGGCGAGCCGAGGCAAGCAGACGAGGTTCGGGTGAGACCGAGGAAAGCCGCACGCCTAGAAGGCGAGGCTCCGGCGGGAGGGGAGTGGTCCTGGGGCGGGGCTGAGGAAAAGCAGCACACTCCGAAGGCGGGGTTTTGGGGGAAGGGGAGAGGAAGGGGGGCGGGGGAGATGTTTGGGGCGCGGCATTTTGAAAAGACCGACTGAGTGGAGGGGTGTAGCCAGTGGGAGAGGAGCAGATCGAAGGCTGTCAGCTACACAGGAAGGCCAAGGGGCGCGTCCGGAAGGCTGTACTTGAGCTGGAAGAGGTTTAGGGAGGTGGCCAAGGCAGAGTCCAGGCTACCCAGAAGGCGGGACCCGGGCAGGGGAAAGCTAACAGAGCAGCAAGCCCGGAAATCATGACTTGAGTGGGAAGGGGCTCAGAGGCGTGTCAAGAACCAGGGGTCCTAGCTGGGGCCGAAGACCAAACTTGTAAAGCTTAGCTCAGGCAGAACAAGGTCCAGTTTAGGGGATGGAGTCAAGTTTGGAATGGATGGGCGGCGCAGGGAGGGTTGGGGCCTTCGTCAGGATTAGAGGCGTGGTTAAGACCAGGGACGGAGCCCTAAAAGCATCCCTGGAGGCAGAAACAAGAAGAGCTAAGCAAGGAGCTGGGTGTGCAGGTCAGTGGGAGAGCACTTGGTTAACATGCTAGAAGGCCCTAGGTTCGACCTCCAACACCAGAAAGAAAAAAGGAAAGAAGGAAGGAAAGAAAGAAAGAAAAGAGAAAGAAAGATAAAAATAAGAAACTCCACTTTTCTGGTATGTATGCGCGAGGCTATGGCTCGATCTCCAATGTGGGTGTCGGTAAAGCTAGGAAGTATTTTCGGAACAGAATCGAGGCATTGGGGAGAGGATGGAACATATCAAAACACTAAGGACAGGAACCAGGACTTCATTCCAGACGGAAAGGTGTAACTGAGGCTGAGGGGCCAACAGGACTGCCCAGCCAGGGAGGCGTGGCCACAAGCCGCAACAAAAAGAAAAAAATAATGATTTTTGCTGCCTACGCATAAGGATAAATTTTGTATAAGTGGTATTAGCTAAGCACAAGGCCTTGGTAGATTTTTCTTTGTTTCCTTTTTGAAACAGTCTTTCTAGAAAGCTCTGTCCTGGAACTCGCTGTATAGACCAGGCTGGCTTCTAACACACAGGTCTGTATAATACCAGCAACTTCCGAGGCTGGATAGGAGTATCACAAATTCGAGGTCAGCTTGGTCTATATACCGATACCCTATCTCAAAAAAAAAAATTTAAGCTAATTTTAAAAAATGAGTCAATAAATGCTTACCTTACTGAGAGTCCCGTCCGCTAAGAAGGAATCGTTCAGTAGAGGCGGAAACTGGTTGAATTTAGGAAGGGAGGGATTTCACTCCCATCAGCTCTGGAGATTCTGTAATCTGGAACAAGGTGTTCCTCGAAGATTAAAAGGAAAAAAGGAAAAAAAGCAAAAGATCTTTTCCAGTATGCTGTTTCCAACATCTTGGCAGGCAGGACATGGACCCATGGGGTGGTGTACAACAAGGCCTCCCCGTCCAGGATCCCGCTTAGCTTTCATCAACTGCAGTCTGTACTCCTAGGGTCTCGGAAACAGTCACTGCGGTCAGAGGCGAAAGGCACGCACAGGGTCCGAGACTGAGCTTTGAATGAAAGCAGAGAGCCGGACAGCCACTGGACCTGCATGACTCCAGTTCCGGCCTCGGCAGCCGAGATTCTGCGGTAGGAGGTTTGTTTGGCTTGGGAATGGCAGATCACCCCTCCTCTGGGGATCCTTTGGGTCTCCTCCACAATGAAGGAATCTCCAACTCCGCTTCCAACGTCCGCTGTAAATCCACTAGGATCGGCTCATCAAAACTGCGCCACAGAATCACAAATCTTTGCTAGCCCGGAACCTGGAAGCACCTAAGGGCGGGTGTTTCCGTCATATCACTTCCGCTTCCTGTTTCTAGCCTTAAATCGGTCCAGGGCTCGCATTCGAGCTAGAAGTTGTGTCGTCGATAAGTTCGAGGGGATTAGAGGTGAGGGAGATAAACCTGGAGGCCCAAGATCACGGGAAGCGGCTGAGACCCGGGAGTCCAGGGGTTGCGGGAGGCGAAACCGGGGGTTTCCGGGGCTGGGCCTGCGGGAGTTAAGGGGCGGAGACGCGACTGTCTGGGGTCCCCGCCATTGAGACCCTGGACTGGGGCTGCTGCGGGTTTGTGTCCGGTGTTCAGGGTAGTGTGAACAAAGAACTCAACTCGGGGAAGGACTTTGGGCGACCCCCAAAGGCCTGACTCTGCTGCCTTCCATCCTCTCCTTCCACCCGGTGTAGCTCCAGCCACAATGATTGAGGTGGTTTGCAACGACCGTCTAGGAAAGAAAGTCCGCGTCAAGTGCAAGTATCCACCGAGGGGTGACTGGCAGTGGTCTCTGGGGCAGTTGGTGGTGCTGGGTAAATTGTAGTTAAATGACGCAGATGGGGAGGCCTAATAGCGTCTTCCTCGTTCTACCTCTTCCTTCCATTTACCTTAACTCCTTCGTGCCCAGCACCGATGACACCATCGGGGACTTGAAGAAACTGATAGCGGCCCAAACTGGCACCCGTTGGAATAAGATCGTTCTTAAAAAGTGGTAAGTGCGCGTTGGTCTTTTGTTAGACTAGAAAGTTTCGGTTGGGGGAGCGCCTCAGAAAACCCCTATGAGGGCTCAGCTTGCTTTCAAGACAAAAGCCCACCCCTACCCCTACCCCACCAAATCAGTTTCTCTCTGAAAGTATCTATCTGTCCCGTAGGTACACGATTTTTAAGGACCACGTGTCTCTGGGAGATTGTATCCTTTTCGTGAAAGAATCCATATGCTTATCTTGAATTCTGGTTCTGTACTGAAACCTGTAGGGAAATTAAGGAAGCGGGATGTTTAACTTAGAATGTGGCCTATTGTGACTACTGAAAAAATGAGAACTATGGAATTATTTTGTTGATGAGGAGGGTGGTGGAATAATTTATCTTGGTTCAGAAGGATTTTGACATTCAGGTTCAAAATATTTATGACTGAGCACCATGTGGATGTTGGACAGGAAGTGAAGGTGGGGTGTAACTCAGATGTGACTGTAGTTGACAACCAGTATGATTTCTTTTTTCTTTTTTTTTGTTTTTTGTTTTTTGTTTTTTGTTTTTCGAGACAGGGTTTCTCTGTGTAGCTTTGCGCCTTTCCTGGAACTCACTTGGTAGCCCAGGCTGGCCTCAAACTCACAGAGATCCGCCTGCCTCTGCCTCCCAAGTGCTGGGATAAAAGGCATGCACCACCACCACCCGGCTCATGATTTCTTTTTAATGGGGTCCTGGGTCTTTTGCCTGCAATTTTGTCTGTGCACCACACACATGCCTGTTGCTGGCAGAGGGCAGAAGAACACTTCAGATTCCCTGGAACCACCATGCAAGTGCTTGGAATTGAACCCAGTTCCTCTGGAGGAGCAGCCATGAGTGTTCTTCAACTGCTGAGCCATCTCTTCAGCCTGAGTATGAACATTTAAGAAAATGTATTATTATTATTGTGTGTGTGAGATGGAGTCGGGGAGGAACTTGAGAATCTGACTCATGCACCAGGCTTTGGTGGCAAACAACTTGACTTCTCAGTGGTCCTGAGGGCCACTGCACATATAGCTTGAGTTCTTAGATCAAAAGTGCCCATTCCAAAATTGCTTCCTTGGTCCAGCGTTGGGTGTTGAGCCACAGGGATCCAGCTGTGAGTGGGTAGAGTCAGCCCTCAATGGCAATTCCTTAATACCTGTCTTCAGATGAAATCCATGATGGGATGAACCTGGAGCTTTATTACCAATAGACGGGAATTCCTTCTCCTTGTCTACCCTGCCTTCCTCTCCCACCCTCGTTTGACACTGGTATAGATGCCCATTTTTAATGATTCACATGAATAAAAACTTCAATGCTGCTTTGTTGCTGTCATATTTGTATGAAAGTTTTATCATAAGGGGAGAGCTGATATCTGGTGGTTATGGTTTTGTATATTGCTCCTTGAGGGAACCTCAAAATTGACTGGAGGCTTGGCCTGGTGCTTCATACCTGACATCTCAGCACTTGGGAAATGGAGGCAAAAGGATTGGGTGTTCCAGGACATCCTAGGCTACATGAAACCTTGTCTCAAAAATCTACTGAAGTCATGAGGGAGGAGTAGCCTAGGAGAATGGGACCCAGAGCTCTGCTGTTGGCTTTGGGTCACTGATGAGCAGAGATCGTATTGAGTATTGTCACCCTCATAAACCATTAACCTGCATAGGGAAGGTAGATGTACTAGCTGGAACAGGGTCTGGCTTCACACGACTGGGTGGAACACCTGCCCACAGCAAATGGCTCTAGGCAAGTTTCTTTACCCTCCTAATCCTCTACAATGGTTTCAGTATCTCCACCAAAACTAGGGGTAAGACATAGTCTCTGTTGTGAGGTATTAAAAGGTGGGTCCTTTAATAGATGTGATGGTTAACCTTCATTGTCAACAGCATTTTGAATCACCCAGGACACACACCTTTGGGCATAACTCAGGAGCTTTTCCAGAGAAGTTTAACTGAGAGAAGACCCATCCTGAATTCATGGATAGTACCATTTTGGTCAGGACTGAATAAAAAGAATGAGTTGAACACCAGCATTAATCACTCGGCTTCCTATTGGTTCAGCTACTTGGGTTCCTGCCTGCATTCCTTCTCTGTCACCAAGAACTATCTCCCTTAAACTATAAGCCAAACAAATGCTTCCCTTAATCTGCTTTAAAAAAGTATTATTTTGGCCGGGCGGTGGTGGCGCACGCCTTTAGTCCCAGCACTCGGGAGGCAGAGCCAGGCGGATCTCTGTGAGTTCGAGGCCAGCCTGGACTACAGAGTGAGTTCCAGGAAAGGCGCAACACTACACAGAGAAACCCTGTCTCGAAAAACCAAAAAAAAAAAAAAAAAAAAAACAACAACAAAAAAAGTATTTTTTTTTATGTGGACAGGGGTGCTATGAGTTCAGAGAACAACTTGTCAGTTCTCATATTATGTGGGTTCCAGGGATCAAACTCAGGTCATCAGGTTTGGGGCAAGTACCTTAACAGTAACTAATATAAGAGATGGTTAGATCATAAGAACTCTGCTGATAGATGGCTGAGTATGCTTTTTTTTTTTTTCACCCTGACTCCTTGACTCTGCAGAGTCACCACTAGCAAAGAAACTCAACACATTTGATCCAGAAACAGTAGATAAACAGTAGAACTAAGCTAAATAAAAATTGTCATGAGAGCCTCCTGTAGACCAGGTTAGCCTCGGAACTCGCTGTGTAGCACCAGTGGTCTTGAACTCCTGCCTCCACCTCCCAAGTGTTGAGATTGAAGGGCAAGCACCACCATGCCCCCTTCAGTATGGTCTTGTCTTTGGCTTTAAAGGAATTGTCAGGAGCTGTGGCTGCCAACACATGCATTGTCTTCATCTACTCTTCACAGTGTGGCCAAAGTTTGGAAAAGGAAAGTAAGGCTGTCTTTTGTTTCCTGTAGTTTTAGCTAAATACTGGAGGCTAAGTAATTTGTGAAGAATGTTTTTTGGTTTTGTTTTTTTCAGTGGGGAAATAGGTAAAATACATGCTCTACAAGCATGAGGACCTGAGTCTAATCTCCAGAACCCATGTAAAAATGCTGTGTACACTTTTTTAATCTGTGCATGTGTACATTTTTTTCTTTTTCTTTTTCTTTTTTTTTTTTTTTTTTTTTTTTGAGACAGGGTTTCTCTGTGCAGTTTTGGTGCCTGTCCTGGATCTCACTCTGTAGACCAGGCTGGCCTTGAACTCACAGAGATACACCTGGCTCTGCCTCCCAAGTGCTGGGATTAAAGGCGTGCACCACCACCGCCCAGCTCAGGTATACACTTTTAATCTCAGCATGGAACAGGTAGAGACAGAAAGCTCTCTGGGGCTTGCTACCTAGCCAGTCTAGCTTAATTGGTGCACTTTAGTAGGTCAATGACTGTCTAAAAGGAAGTAGGTTGTGTTCCTAAGATGACACTCAGGTTGTCCTCAACCCTCCACACTTAGGCACACACAGAAACACAGACACACATACCTGTAAAAACAAAGCTACTTGGGTAGCCAAGGTAGGACCAATCTAAGCAAGAGACCCTATCTGAAAAAGTGGAAGGCAGCTGGGTATGTAGCTAGTTGGTAAAGTACTAAAATTGCTTCTATCAGATATTTTGTTACAGGAGTGAGAAAAATAACACAATGGGCTACATGGTGAGATCCTATTTTTTAAAACCCACTATATTAGGGTTCTGTAGAGAAACAGCTGATAGAATAAAGCTCTATCTATATATCTATATATATGTGTGTGTGTGTAATAAATAGGATTTATTAGAGTGGCTTACAGGTTATGGTCCAACTATTCCAATAGTGGCTGTCTCTCAGTGAAAGTCCAAGAATTCAGTAGTTGTTCAGTCCATGAGGCTGGATTTTTCAGCTGGGTATATGCCAGAATCCTGAAGAAGTAATTAGAGAATGCCAGTGAAGGAATGGACTTGCCAGTGAGAGTGTGAGTGAGCAGGCAAAGAGCAAGTGCTTCCTTCTTCCATATCCTTTATATAGACTGCTGGCCAGAAGGTATAGCCCAGATTAAAGGTGGATCTTCCCACCTCAAATGATTCAATCAAGCTGCTTGGGTTTTAGTTAATTCCAGATGTAGTCAACTTAACAACCAAGAATAGCCATTACACCCACACAAACATAAATAAGTACATATTTACATATATACTATTTGGATTTAAATTTTTATTACTTTTTTTGTGCATGTGTGTGTATGTGGATGAGGTGAGCAAACATCCATATAGCTTGGTGCACATGTGGAAGTCAAAGGAAAACCTATAGGAGCCAGTTCTCCCCTGCTACTTTGTGGGTCCTAGGGTTGGAACTCAAGTCATGTCTTGATGTGAATGTTTGCGTTTATGTGTGCACCTGTGCCATGACCTGCTTATGGAGGTCAGAGGACAATCTTGGCTGTCAATTCTAGCCTTCTACCTTGTTTGAGACATGGTGTCTTTGTTGTTCATTACTTGTACTTGAGGCTAGCTGGTTTGGGAACTGTATTAATCAGAGTTCTCTAAAGAAACAAAACTGATAGAAAAAATATATGAGATTTATTAGAGTGGCTTACAGGCTTTGATTTGAGTAGTCCAGCAATGGTCATCTGAGAGAAAGGTCAAGGATCTAGAGGTTGTTCAGTTCACTAGATGTGTCAGCAGTCCCAATTTGGTGCTAGAGTCCCAGGGAAGTCCTAGAGAGCTGCCAGTTTCCAGTCTATGTTGGAATCCCAAAGAAGTGGGCACTAACACCAGCAAAGGATTGCTTTAGGAACAGGATAGTGTAGCATGAATCCTAATTGGTCTAATAATAAAAACCCGGAGCCAAATATTGGGATAAATGCTGAAAGATCAGAGAGACAAAGGAACAAGCCACTAGAGAAACTTCTCACCACTGCTGAATCCTCAGGCCGAAAGAGAGGCGAGATCCTGTCTCTACAAATCCTCAGACTGAATGCCTCTGAGTCCTCAGCCAAAAGTTCCTGTCTCCTGCCTTGTTTGCTTTTCTCTGCCCAGCCATATCATTTCCTGTCTCAATCTTCCTAGTGCTGGGATTAATTGCATGTGTACTTCCTAAATACTGAGAGCAAAGGCATGAGATCTCAAGTGCTGGAATTAAAGGTGTGTGTCACCACTGCCTGGCTCTATTTCTCTTTTAGACTAGATTAATCTCATGTAGTCCAGGGTGGCTTTGAACTCACAGAGATCCAGACGGATCTCTGCCTCCAGAGTGCTGGGATTAAAGGTGTGTGCCATCACTGCCTGGCCTCTATGTTTAATCTAGTGGCTGGCTCTGTCCTCTGATCTTCAGGCAAATTTTATTTTATTTATTTACAAAGAAAATATCTACCACAGGATACATGGACTTGTCAGTGAAAATGAGGGCAAGCAGGCAAAAAGCAACAGCTTCCTTCTTCCATGTCCTTTTATGTGGGCTGCCACCAGAAGGTGTGTCCCAGATTAAGTGTGGGTTTCTGCCCTCAAATGACCTGGATTTAGGATGAGTCTCCTACCTCAAATTATCCAACTGTCTTAGTTAGGGTTTCTATTGCTGTGAAGAGACACTATGACCATGACTGCTCTTATAAAGGAAAACATTTAATTGTTAACAGTTTCAGAGGTTTAGTCCATTATTGTTATGGCGGGAAGCAAGGCAGCATGCAGGCAGACACTGCTGGAGAAGGAGCTGAGAGTTCTTACATCTTGATCCGTAGGCAACAGAAAGTGGTCTGATATTCTGGCATGGCTTGAGCATATATGAGACCTCAAAGCCTGCCTCAACAGTAACAAACTTCCTCCAACAAGGCCACACCTACTCCAAAGTCACAACCTTCCAATAGTGCCATTCCCTATGAGCTTATGGAGGCCAATTACATTCAAACTACCACACCAACCAAGAAAACCCCACACAGGTGTGCCAGCTGCTTCCTTTTTAGTTGATTCCAGATGTAGTCAAGTTGACGACCAAGATTAGCCACCACGGGAGCCTTGAGGACTTCTGCTGTCACTATCTCCCGGATGGAGAAATGTTACTGGTTACTGGTGCTTGCCTTTTACTGTATCCAGCTTTATGTTGGTTCTCCAGGTTTAGACTCAGAACTTCGCACTTGTATATCAAAACACTTTACCATCGAGCCATCTCTCTAACCTGCACAGTCTTTTTTTTTTTTTTTTTTAAGAAAAGACCAGCCGGGCGGTGGTGGTGCATGCCTTTAATCCCAGCACTCGGGAAGCAGAGGCAGGCGGATCTCTGTGAGTTCTAGGCCAGCCTGGACTACAGAGTGAGTTCCAGGACAGGCGCAAAACTACACAGAGATACCCTGTCTCGAAAAACAAAACAAAACAAAAAAAAAAAAAAAAAAAAAAGAAAAAAGAAAAAGAAAAGACCAGTAGGATAGCTGGGCTGGTAAAGGTGTTTCTACTTGCGTCTAATGAACTAAGTTCCAGCCTTGGAACCCACAGAAAGGTGGAGGGAAAGAACCAACTACATAGAGCTTGTAACAGGATAAAGATTTCTCCATCTTGTCTCAGCTGAAGCCATCTTTGATTTCTACCCCCTGCCCTAAAAAGTCCAGTGGGAAAGCACCCAACCCTGTTCTAGAAACTCAGGGTCTAAATGCCCCAGCTAACTGCATGTTCTTGGCTTTTGTTCAACTGCTTGATTACCAACCAGGATGTAGTCTTTCTGTGTTCTTTGTCTTTAAAAACCTCCCTGTAATATGCATTCAGGGCTGCTCTGTGGGAATTGTTTTTCTCCAGGCAGTCTCCAGCCATCTTAATACAGACTCTCAAATTCAAACTTTGGTTGTGCTGGGTGGTCTCTGGGTTTTTACCCCACAACAGAGCTACTTTCTGACGGCCATACACTCAGGTCAGTAATAGACATTATTTGGCTTTGACATGGGGTTTGGTGTTGTTTGTTTGTTTGTTTATGAGACAGGTTCTCGGTATGTAGCTCTGGACAATCTGAAACTTGAGTGTAGATCCGGCTGGCATAGAACCTAGATATCCACCTGCCTCTACCTCCTGAGTTCTGAGATTATAAAGGCATGCACACCACACCCTGCATAAAATAAGCATTTTTAATGGAACTTTATGTGAATGCATTGAGTAGGTCTGGCTGGGAAGAATGCAGTGAGGCCTTTTATCTGGCCTGTATACTTCTGCCCTGGTTTGAAATAAGAAAGCAATACTATTAAATCTGTCATGTAATTATGTAATTTCTTCATTACTAGAGTTTGAACTCAGTCTGAGCTATTCTCCCCCACTTTCTTTATTTCTTTTCTTCTTTTCTTTTTTTTCTTTTTTCATTTTTTTTTCTGTGTCTCTGTATAACTGTGGCTGTCCTGGAACTCACTATGTTGACCAAACTAGCCTCAAACTCACAGAGATTCTCATGTGTCAAATCATCAGGCTTGGTAGCAAATGCTCTTACCCACTCCTTGACCCTTGCTTTTATACTGTAATTGCTATGAGCCTTGTGATTTGTTTTTTTTTTTTCACCCAGCAAGCTTTTTACTGGCTAACACTTACCCCTAGTCCTGTCCTAAGGGCTTTATATAGGGATAAGTCATTTGATCTTCACTTTAGCAAGAGGTAGTATCACTTATCTATACTTTGCAGTGGGAGAGGCTGAATCATTGAGGTTAAGCAGTTCACAGCAAGTGGTAGAGTAAAGCTTTGAACCCAAGCAACACATCTTGCTTTTAATCCCCTTTCATGAGTTCATTCCACTGAATGTCATCTTTTTGAGGTCACACAAGGGTCTACACTATTGATAAACTGGAATTAAACCTTTCCCATTGGTGTCTTTGAAAATCATTGCGTATCCAGGGCCAGCGAGATGAGCAAAGGCTTGCTACCAAGCCTGACAACTTTAGTTTGACCTCCAGAACCCCACGGTGGAGGAGAGAACAGATTGCTGTAAATTGTCTGCTAAATACACAGTTATCATGGCAGCCTCCCTTATGAGTGTAATAGTTTTTAAAAGTAACTTTTTGGTTTTTAGAGACAGGGTTTCTATGTATAACTCTGGCTGTCCTGGAAATCCCTCTGTAGACCAGGCTGGCCTCGAGTTCAGAGATCCTATTGCCTCTGTCTGCCAAGTTCTAGGATTAAAGGTGTGTGCTACCACAACTGGCATAAAGTAGCATTTTTAAGATTTTATGCTTCACTGGCATGTATACATGAATGTGCACCATATTCACACCTGGTGAATTGCAAAGGTCCTCTGGAAGAACACGCAGTGCTCTTAACCACTCAGCCATCTCTCTAGCCTTCCACAGACTTTTTTTCCTTTCCTTTTTTTGGGGGGGGAGGGGTTGTTTTATTTTGTTTCTTTTGTTTGAGACAGGGTTTCTATGTGTAGTTTCTGTCTGAACTCACTTTTAGACCAGGCTGGCCTCGAACTCAGAGATCCTCTTGCCTCTGCCTCCTGAGTGCTGGGTATGCACCACCATGTCTGTTTCCTCCAGAGACTATCAATTGACTTAAACTGTTCGTCGGAGACGCCCACCCTCCCCTATTCCCTTTCCTCATCCTAGTGGCAATGCCATTACCCAGCCTAGGACCTAGGAAGGAGCCAGATGGAGAAGGAATAAGTTGAAGTAGGTTCTAAAAAAGACTTGGAAAGTGGGTGAGTAGACCAGTGAAATGGTTAGCCTTGCAAACACCAAAAAGGACTGGCTTCGCTTTGGAGGAAACAAGTGGGATGAGGGAGAACTGAAAAGCCAAATTTAGGCTTTGGGCACTTAGCTTCTCGTCGCCAAGGCAACTGCATTACTATGGCAACGGCAAAATACAGCAAAAGCACCAAATACCTCCTTGCTAGAGAGCCGCTTCCGCGTGGAGGCTGGCCGACCTCCGAGAGCGGCTCAATAAGGCGGGATTGGCTGCAGCAGGAGCCAATCAATAAGCTCTATTCTCTGGGCTAAGCCCACCAAGAAGGTTTGCAGAGACATTTTGACGCTTAAAGGGAGCCTGAGCGTCCAATGGACGTCGCTTCCAGGTGAGCCAATCAGCAGTGAGTCGGGGTGAGGGGGCGGAGAGTGTGTGTAGGGGCGGTCCAGGAAATTGCGAGTGAGTCCAATAAAATGCTAGAGCGCCAGAGACGCCGTGGGACCGTCCAATGGGCGTCTCTACCGGACGAGCCAATCAACAGTGGCGCAGGTTGGCGCGGGGTCAAAGCCGCGGAGGCGGAGCTGGCGCTGCGGCAGGAGGGAAGATGGCGGACGAGGAGAAGCTGCCGCCGGGCTGGGAGAAGCGCATGAGTCGCAGCTCAGGTACCTCTTGGAGGTCGGCCAGGGGCTGGGCCGGGGCCTCGTGAGATTGCAGAAATTGGGCTCGAGCTCACGGGGACAGGCGGGCCGCATCACCGCCCTGCCTCTGGCGTGGAGGTCTGGGCTCCTCCGCGGCGTAACGGGCCCGGAGAGTCAGAAACTGAGGCAAGAGGTGGGGCAGGTACGGGCACGCCCGGACCCTCGCTCACCACTGGGCCCGGGCGCCCTTAGGAGACGAAGCTGCACCTCGGGGTTCCCTTGGGAGGAAGAGACCCCGACCTGGTGCAGAGGGCGTGGGCCGCTCTGATCTGGGTTCTCGGGCAGCATCTGTGACACGTGCCGGGTCATCTCCAGCGCGGATCCTGCGGCAGCAATGGCTTATAACCAGGCCGGTTCACCTCTGGGCCAAGCATGGTGCCAAGAGCTTTGAAAAGAATTCAATCTTTCACAAGTCTGTACGTCAGTGTGGTTCTTTTGTCCCCTATCCCTCACCCTCCCTCGCTCCCTCCATCTCCGTCCGCTCTCTCCTCCCTCTCCTTTCCTCTCTCCTTCCCTTTTTCCTTGGCTCGTTCTCTCTCCTCCCTTTCTGTCGTGCCCATCTTTCAAGGAAGGAATTGCTCTCATTTTCCTAGTGGGTAAACTAAGACCAGGACACGGAAAGAACTCATCAGATGATGCAGTTCAGGAACTGGGAATGCCCTGGAATGCAGTGAGTTCTTGTCCCCAGAGTCCCCTTGCCAGTGTCAGTGGCAACGCCCAGTGGAGCGGTTGGGCATCTCGGGTCGCCACTGCCTACAGAGCTCGCTCATAATTCTTATTGAATATCAGGGTCCTGGACACTGCATACGTTAGCTCTCTGAATTAACATGGCCAGGTTTAATGTTCTTATTCTCTTTCCCCTTTTTTAGGAGGGGGTGGAGGTGGAAAGGTGTTAGACTGGATCTCTATGAACAAGTTGCTCGATCCTCCTGCTTCAGTCCCCCAAGCGCTGGGATCACAGGCATGCACCACTTTGCCCAATTTATTTATTGAGACAAGAATCTTTATTAGTAATATTAGTAGTAGTATATTTAGTGTGTGTGCATGTGGAGATCAGACAATAACTTCTCTCTTTCCACCATGAGATCAAACACGTCTTTAGACTTGGCTGCAAGCACATTTACCCATTAAGCCATTTTCTTTCTCTTTTTAAAATTTGCTGTGTGTGTGTGTGTGTGGAGAGAGAGAGAGAGAGAGAGAGAGTGTGCAAACTCAGACTAGTCTTGAATTTGCTGTCGTAGGATGACCTTGAACCTCCTCCCCCACCCCCAGACTAGGTGTCTCTGTTGTTTTGGTGCCTGTCCTGGTTCTCACTCTGTGGACCAGGTTGGCCTTGAACTCACAGAGATCCGCCTGGCTCTGCCTCCCAAGTGCTGGAATTAAAGGTGTGTGCCACCACCGCCCGGCTCCAAAGCTTTATTCTTAATCCCTACCCTGGTAGCCTAAATTGGAGAGCAAAAAAGCAGCATTACTGGGGGACTGATGTCATCTAAGAGACATCTAAGTGACAGTGAGGTGCATAAAGGAGATGGTAAACCAAAAACTTGAGGGAAAAGCCTGGCTTGGTGAGGCACACCTGTAAGCCTAGCACTGGGGAGGCTGAGGCAGGAGGATGGATGTCTGCTGTTGGAAGCCAGTCAGGGTAAGTTTGCAAGACTGTCTCAAAAAAAGTGAAGGAGAGCTGGTTGTGGTGGTGTACACAGGTAGAATTTGCTGAAGGAGGTGGAGGCAGGAGGATCACAAGTTTGAGGCTAGCCTGGGCTACACATTTTTATCCAGGTGGTGGTGGCCAGACACCTTTAATCCCAGCACTCGGGAGGCAGAGGCAGGTGGATCTCTGAGTTCCAGACCAGTCTGCTCTATAGAGTAAGTTCCAAAACAGCCGGGGCTACACAGAGAAACCCTGTCTCAAAAAACTGGGGGAAAAATAGTAAAAGAGAAAAGGCCGGGCGGTGGTGGCACTCGCCTTTTATCCCAGCACTCGGGAGGCAGAGCCAGGCGGATCTCTGTGAGTTCAAGGCCAGCCTGGTCTACAGAGTGAGATCCAGGACATACCAAAACTACACGGGGAAACCCTGTCTCACAAAAACCAAAAGAGAGAGAAGAGGCGGAGAAGGGAGGGTCATGGCAGGAGCTTGAAGGAAGGACTCAGTAGATTCTGGGTCACTCCAAGGAATTAGAGTCTCTCTGCGTTACATAGTTGACCTAGCACCGAGAAGGGCTGGGTAAAGGGGCGGTGGTGGTGAACGAGCACTCGGGAGGCAGAGGCAGGTGGATCTCTGTGAGTGTGAGGACAGCCTGGGCTACAAAGTGAATTCCAGGACAGCCAGAGCTGTTACACAGGGAAACCCTGTCTCGAAAAACCAAGAAAAAAGGGGCTAGGTATTCACAAAAGAAGGCTATCATAGTCCTACAGAATAAATGGCAAGAATTGGTCCACTGCCAGGCAGAGGGTCAGGTTTTCTGTTTGTTTTAGGAGTCTCACTATGGGGGCTGGAGAGATGGCTCAGAGATTGAGCATAAACTGCTCTTCTAGGGGACAGGGGTTCAATTTCCAGTACCCACATGGAGACTCACTGCTGTCTGTAATTCCAGTCTGAGGACATTTGGCACCCTCTTCAGACCTCCTTGTGGGCACTGCATGCACATGGTGATAGAAGAGCAAGCATAACACCCAGATACAATTTTAAGTCTCCGTAGCTCGGAATAACTATGAACTGGAGACCTTCCCGCTTCTGCTTCTTAGGTGCTGAAAATGCAGCTATGTGCTGCCACACCCACACCCACCTAGAAGCATGTTTATGCTTGAGGTCACAACCTCAGGCTGGGAATGGAGCAGCCTGGATAGGAGCAAGGACTTTAGGGCTAAATCCAACTAAAACCTTAGTAACTGGCCATCTCCCTGAACCTCAACTTTCTCATCTGAAAAACTGGGGCAAGAGAATAAGGATATCAGAGCTAGGCATAGTGACACATGAGTGTAGTCTCAGTGCTTGAGAGGCTGAAGCAGAAGGATCATGAGCTGGAAGCCAGCTTGGGCTGCACAGCAAGACTTTATCTTAGTGTGTGATAGTAATCCCAGCACTCAGAGGGGTGAGGGAGGAAGACCAGATGTTCAAGGTCATCCTACGACAGCAAATTCAAGACTAATCTGAGCTCGCGCAGCGCTGTCTGTCTGTCTGTCTCTCTCTCTCTGTCTCTCTCTCCCCACACACACACACACAGCAAATTTTAAAAAGAAAAAGAAAAAAAGAAAGAAAATGGCTTAATGGGTAAATGTGCTTGCAGCCAAGTCTAAAGACGTGTTTGATCTCATGGTGGAAAGAGAGAAGTTATTGTCTGATCTCCACATGCACACACACTAAATATACTACTACTAATATTACTAATAAAGATTTTTGTCTTAATAAATAAGTTGGGCAAAGTGGTGCATGCCTGTGATCCCAGCGCTTGGGGGACTGAAGCAGGAGGATCGAGCAACCTGTCCATAGAGATCCAGAGGCAGAGGCAGGCACATGTCCGAGTTTCAGGGCAACCTGGTTTATAAAACGAGTTCCAGGACAGCCAGAGCTGTTACACAGAGAAACCCTGTCTTGAACTCTCTCTTCCCTCCACCCCCCTAAAAAAAGAATAGAGCTTTAGGGTATCTACCTCTGTTTATACACAAGATATAATTGCTGCTGCTGTGAGCAGAGATAGAGGAGATGATGCCTGAGTTTTGTTTGCAGTGAATTGGATAGAAACAGTCATACTCTTACCCTTTTGATGAATGTGTGATACTGGGACTTGAACCTAAAACCTCACAAATGCCAGGCAAGCACTGTATCAGTACGCTGGATCCCCAGCCCCATAGTATTTGTTTGGTTGTGTACTTTTGAAATTGGATCCCATGTAGCCAAGTTTGCTCTCAAACTCTGTAGCTGAGGATGCTTTTGAGCTTTTGATCTTATTTATTTTGTAGGATGGCATGTGTACATGTGGGAGGTCAGAGGACATCTTGGGGTGGGTGGGTTCTCCTTTCACTAGGCAAGTTCCTGGAGCTCACACTCAGCTTGTTAAGTTCCTTTACCTGCCGAGCCATTTATGCAGACCTGGAAGCTGTTTTTTCTGATTGCTGGTTTAGTGTCTGTCTCCACCTAGAGCATTAGCACAGTCCTGTCTGAGACAGGTCCTGGTGGGGACAGCATCCTCCCAAGCCTGTAGCACAGGGTAAATCAGGAAATGGGTCTGTTGAAGAAGGCACCTCCCAAGCAGGTCCTCATCCTGGCTTTCAGGGTGGAGTCCTCCTCAGCCCAGCCTAAGCTGAACTAGGTGCTGCTCTCCCGCAGGCCGAGTATACTACTTCAATCACATCACCAATGCCAGCCAGTGGGAGCGGCCCAGCGGCGGCAGCAGTGTTGGAGGCAGTGGCAAGAATGGCCAGGGGGAGCCGGCCAGGGTGCGCTGCTCACACCTGCTGGTAAAGCACAGTCAATCTCGGAGGCCCTCATCCTGGCGGCAGGAAAAGATTACCAGGAGCAAGGAGGAGGCACTGGAGCTGATCAATGGTGAGTGGGGGAAATGGGGGCTTGCTGGGGTCTTCTCCCCGGTAGGCTGGGGGGCTATCTCAGTTCCTTTTCCTGTTCCTGTGACAAAATACTCTGACAGGGGCCAGCAAGGGGGTTCAGCCGGCAACGGCACTTGCTGCTAAACCAGAGGACCTGAATTCCATTCCCAGGATGCATGTGGTGAAGGAGAGTCCACTTCTGGGAGTTGTTCTCTCGCCTCCCCAGCCCACCATGATAGTGTGCTGCCGTGCCCCTCCCCCACTGTCCAATAAAAAGTTCTCTAAAAATGATAAGCACCTTAAGGGAGAAAGGTTTGTTTGGACTCGTATCACAGTTCCAGGTCATAGTTCACAGCAGGAAAGTCATAGAGGCAAGAGTGGGTGACATCATATAATATTGTCAGGAACAAAGAACATGTGCCTGTGCTAGTGCTCAGCTTGTCTTTTCTTTAGGCTGGAATCCCCTACCCAGGGGATGGTCCTGCCGACAAGTAAACAAGGGTCGGTCTGGGTCAGTCGTTCCATATCGATTAACATAATCAAGATAATCCCCACAGGATTCCAGCAGCCTATCTGCCGGGTTATTTTAGGTTCTGCCAAGTTGACAATAAGCGCTACCCATCACGGGGGCCTTGTAGAAGTCCCACCAGACCCTCCACCCAGGCCGCTCAGCTGTCACTTGTAAGTGCCTGTATTGTACTGGGGTGTAGCTCATTTGTTAGCATGCTCACCTAGCTTGCAGTGAGCCCTGGCTTCAGTGTCGAGTACCCTGTGAACCTGGCATCTGTAATCTCAGCATAGAGATAGAGACAGAAGGATCAGAAATTCAAGCTTGCTGCTGGAAAGATGTCTCATTATGCAAAGGCACTTGCCAGTGAACCTGAGGGCCTCAGTTCAGTTCCTGGGACTCACACAGTTGAAGGAGAGAACCAGCTCCTTCAAGTTGTCCTCTGACCTCAGTGAAAATACTGTCACGTGTGCACAAATAAATGCAATTTTTTAAAAAATTCGTTTGTTTATTATGTATGCAATGTTCTGCCTGCAGGTATGCCTGCAGGCCAGAAGAGGGCACCAGATCTCATTATAGATGGTTGTGAGCCACCATGTGGGTGCTGAGAATTGAACTCAGGACTTCTGGAAAAGCAGCCATCTCTCCAGCCCCTGCAATTTTTTATTTTTTATTTTTTTTTTAAAGTCTAGGTCCCACATACTGAGTTTGAGGCCAGCCTAGGCTATTTGAAGTCCTTGGAAAGAAGTGCTTGTACTTGGGATGAGCTTGGCCCATGCAGGCTTCTCTCTCTTTCCTTTCTCCTTGCTCTGTGGAGTGACCAGGTCTAGAAAGCCAGCATACTCTGGTTAGATAGTAGCAGTGTCTGATAAGCTCTGTGATCTGAGAGACTCAGAGCCTCACTCAAGACTCATTTTTCTCTTCTATAAAATGAGCATTAATTTATAACTACCCCAAGGACCCCTGTAGCCAGATGAGAGGCAGTTTCGGTCATTAGGGAGGGAGGGACCTGGCCATCTGTGGGTGGGTCTGGCAAGCACAGAGCTGGTCCCTTCTCTTCTGCTTCTTTCTTTATAATTTACAGCAAGGTTGGCAGACTTTGTTGTTCATTCTTCGTTTGTTTTGGGATTTTTTAAAACTACCTATTTTTGATAAATATATGTATGGGTCTTTTGCCTGCATCTGTGTATGTGTACCATGTGTGTGCCTGGAACAGAGGAGGCTAGGAGAAGGCATTGCATTTCCTAAAATTGGAGGTAGGTTTGTGAGCTACAATGTGGGTGTTGGGAATTGAACCCAGGTATTTTGTAAGAGCAGCCAGTGCTCTTAACCTCTAAAACATCTCTTCAGTGTGCGTGTGTGTGTGTGTGTGTGTGTGTGTGTGTGTGTGTGTGTGTGTGTGTGTGTGTATGTGTACATGTGTACACGTACATGTATGTGGGAATGCACATGTTCAAGTGTGGAAGTCAAAGGACAATTCTCAGGGGTGAGCTCCCACTTACCATGTGAGTCCTGGGGATTAAATTCAGATCATCTGACTTCGTAGCAAATGCAATCACCCGCTAAGCCATCTTGCTGGCCCTTTGTGTGATTTGTTTGTTAAGATTACTTTATGTGTATGTGTGAATACCTACTTGTATGTACGTACACCACACGTGTACCTGCTACCCATGAAGGCTAGAAGAAGGCATCAGATCCCCTGGAACTAGAGAAACAGGCAGTTGTGATCTGCCATATATGTTCTGGGAACCAAACCTGGGTCCAAAAAGAAAATTCTGTGTTGAGTTATAAAGGCAAGAAACGAGAAACAAATGAACAAAAAAACCATCATTGAACCACTGGCCCTTCAATCCAGTTCCATGTTTGTTTGTTGGGTTTGTTTTGTTTGTTTGTTTTGTTTTGTTTTTTTGTTTTGTTTTGTTTTCTTGAGACAATGGCTCTCCTTAAACCCAGAGCTTATTGCAAGGGGATCAGGTAATGGTGATACAGGTGGTGTCTCCCAGTTGCTTGGTACCTTTGTCTGGAAGGTACCATCAGGTTCCCTCTGCCCTGAGGAAACAGACTGCCCGCTTTGGAAGCAGCACCTCTGCATCCCTGCCGCGGCTCCTTTTTCAGCACTGGGTATAGCTGCTGGGCAACAGCCAGAAGAAACCTGAGGCCCAGCTGGTGACATTACCATGTCCTTGTCTGAGTCAGCCAAGCTGTGGACAGGCCCTAGCTCCCTGTTCTCTTGCTCTGTCCCTGCTTATCCAAACCCTGAGAACCCTGGGAGGCCCAGAACAAGAGTATAAGCATCACCCTTTCTAGGCTTCAAGGTTCAGCCATCTCCTCTGGTGGAGTGATAATATCCAGCCTGATGACCTATGGCTGGGTCTCTGGGCCCCTCCTGCTGGGTCTTGGGTCTTTTAGGATGACACACCCAATGATGTTACATCTTCCCTGACCAGACCCTTCCCCTATGGGTCACCTGTGATCTGGGAGAACCTTTGATTCTTTAGAATGGGCAAGGGGATTGTCTTAAACATTTTTAGGGTGAGGAAACACTCTTTTGGTTCATTCTGTCCCTTAGTCTGCTGTAACACAATGCCACAAGCTAGGTAGCTTGGGTGACAGAAGTTTCTTTTCTCACGGTTCTGGAAAAGTCTGTGCCTGTGCTTTTCCCTAGATTCACTCTCACCAACCACCACAGACCTGTGCCTTTCTCCCTTTTCCCCTCAGGTTCTTGGTGAGATTGCTTTTCTTGTCTTGCAGACAGCTGCTGCTTCTGTTGTGTCTTTGGTGATCTTGGCTATCTTTATGCCCCCTCCCCCTTCCCTTTAATGATAGAGTTTATGCAGCCCAGGCTAACCTTAAACTCCCTGTGTAGCCAAGGGTGACCCTGAACTTCTGACCTGTCCACCTCTAGCTCCTGAGTGCTGAGATTATAGGTTTGCTCTGCCATCCTAGTTTGGAGATTGAACCTGGGGCCTGGTGCAGGAAGGCAAGCACTCTGCCAACTGAGCTCAAACCTTAGCCTGGCTGTGTCTCTTTTCATGAACAAGTCCTTATCATTTCAGGGCCCACCCTTGTAGACTCCTTATCTCCAAGGATAGTCATACCAGGAGCCAGGTCTTCTTCATAGTGAATATCGGGACGTTGTCATGCAGCCTATAGCAGAGCAATGAGCATTTATGTCTGTCAAGGACTTGTTCTGCCCTGAATCAGGCTTGACTATGGCAGTCACTCATTCATCCCTCAGAATCACCCTCTGAAGTGAGAGCTCCCATTAACCTATTATTTTTTTTTTCTTTTACACTCATTTATTTGTATGTGTGCAAGCATGCCACCGCAGGCATGTTGAGGTTAGAGGAAAACGTACAGCAGGAGTTGGTTCTCCTGTTCCATTGTGGGGATCCTGAGGATGGAGCTCAAATAGTCAGGGATGGCACAAGTACCTTTACCCACTGAACCATCTCCATGGCTCCCCAGTGCCCCAATTCATAGGCCAGTCATTTCATGAGGCTCCCAGAAGCAGAATCACCCCTCCCCTCAGCCACTGGATATTCATAAGGCTGAGGAACCACAGAACAGGATCAGATCCCAGCAGCTGGAGTTAGAGCTGGGCCTGACTCCCTTCTGAAACTTAGGGACTGCTGAGCCCACACAAGTCTGCAGAGATGGACATTCGTCTGTTAGGCTTGCTATCTGGGGAGCTCCTGAACACTCTTGTCTTTGTTCTATTGCTATGAAGAGACACCATGACCAAAGCAACTCTTACAAAAGAAAGCATTTAATTGGGGATTGTTTTCCATTTCAGAAGTTTGTCCATTATCGTCATAGCAGGGAGCATGGTGGCACAAATGGCACTGGACAAGTAGCTGAGAACTTGATATCTGATCCGCAGGCCGGCAGGCAGGCAGAGAGAGAAGGAGTAACACTGGGCCTGGTGTGGGCTTTTGAAACCTCAAAGCCAACCCCTGGCAATACACTTTCTCCAGCAAGGCCACACCTCCTAATCCTTCTAATCCTGTCAAACAGTTCCACTCCTTAGTGACTAAGCATTCAAATATATGAGCCTATGGGGCTTTCTGTATTCAAACCACTGCAACCCCAGGGCAAGTAGAGGACTCTGTTCCAGTGTGGGAGCTCTGGAGAGGCTGCTCCAAGGGGCAGAGTTCTCAGAGTCCTGGCTGGATGCTGTTGGCCAAATTGGGCAGGTACCCTCAGAGGAGTTGCTTCCTCCTCACCTCCCAGTGAGGCTGGGATTTGTCCTGGAGGAAGCCCAGGAAGTCTGGCCTCATCTCTTGAATACAGAGGTTCAGGTGACAAAAAACAAGAGATGGCAGTGTCTCTGTGAAGAATAGTGATGGATCCCTCTCTCCTTCCTCCCAGCTAACTTCTGCTTCACTTACTCATGAATTCCTTGGCCTCCAGGGACTCCTGTCTTGTGCACAGGTCTAGTACAGGGTGGGAAACAGTGGTAAACAAATCTACACCTGGGTAGATTTCCTTTCTTTTTTGAGACAGTATCTCATTATGTAGCCTAGACTGCCTCAGTGTCCTGAGTAACAGGACTGTAGGCATGTACCACTCAGCTCAGTGCTTTCATTATTAAACAGCTATAGCTTGACAATGTGTAAGAAACTATGGCTGGAGGGTGTGGGGGCTGGAGAGATGGCTCAGCTATTAAGAGCACTGACTGCTCTTCCAGAGGACCCAAGTTCAATTCCCAGCACCCACATGGTAGCTATCAGCTGTCTGTAACTCCAAATGTGACACTGTCACACAGACATATATGGAGGCAAACACCAGTATACATAAAATAAAAATGAATTTTAAGAAAGAAACCCTGGCTATCCCATCTACAGATCCCTGTGGCTACGTCCAGGTGGACATAGGCTGGAGGTGGGCAGATCTTGGGTAGAACCTTTGATCTCCACAGAAGAATATGGGGAGTTCAGTGCTGTGAAGGTGGGGCTGGGAACACAGCCAGGCATCCAGGGAGAGGAGAAGCAGGAGTTTACCAGGTCAGGATCACTGTTACGATTCATTCTGTACACAGGGACTCTTAATACCAGGGGTGGCTTCCAGAAGTCAAACCACATGGCTTGTGTGCCTCTGACAGACTCTATGAAGTGCTTTGTGGTGACACCCAGTTCTTGACCAAGGCAGCAAGTATAGGCAGAACAGAGAGGAGTTGGGAAGCCACTGGTAGTCAGGTGTACCCTGGCAGTGTGTAGACCAAACACCAAGGTAGCTACTATGCAATGCATTCAGATAGGGATGACTCCTGGGCTCTCAGTCCTACTGCCTGCCCTGCGGGAGCCTGAGGCTCAGAGCCCCTGGGAAGTGCCTGGGTTCCTGGGCCTCAAGGCACTGGTGAGAGCAGCTAATAATACCCCTTGTCAGAAAAGCACCAGTTGGGACCTTCAGTGCTGTGCACACTGGACAGCTCACAGGTGTTCAGAAGCCTTTCAGAGATCAGGAGGGAAGGGTGGGTGGAAGTCCAGCAGCAGCTGTGTCAGGCCATCCTCATCTGCAAAGAGCTCATTGTGGAGCCTAATGAGGCAGGAAGGTTGAGGGTTCGAGGATAGCCCAAACTGCATAGGAGGCTCTGTCTCAGATAAAAGGACAGAGTCCCCTGGGTAGTCTCTGCCAGGCTCTCTGGGAAAGCTTTGAGGGCTGCACAGGCCAGGGTGGCTGCCCTGGGAGTCTGTGTGTATGGTGGCTACAGGTTGGGCGGGAGTAGGAGACAAGATGTATTATGTGTCACAGGCTTTTTTGCCCACCTCAGGCACTGCCTGGACTCAGGTGCCTGGCAACTCCCCACCTAGCACGTGTCTGTGTGTGCATAACATAGTCTCCGCATATCCGCATGCATGTGCATCCTGCTCCTGAGACATGAGTCATACAGACATGGTGCTGTGGTCGCACTCCCCTGAGCCTAGGTCCTTTACATTTTGTTGTTTGTTTGTTTGTTTGTTTGTTTGTTTTGATGGGGTTTGGTGGTTGGTGAGTGTGTTTGAAGGTTAGAGGACATCTTACAGAAGTGGCTCTCTCCTTCCACTGTTGTGGGTTCCAGGGATGGAACACAGTCAGACTTTGACACATGACTTTGTTGTTGTTATTTTGAGACTTTGCTTCAGTCACTTCGAATACCTTCCTCCCTGCAGCCCTGACCTCCTAACCCTGAAGGAGAGTCACAGCCCAGGGGAGATGTTTTAATGCCTCCTGGGGGCTGCCAATATAGTGTGGGACAATTGTGCTGGTGCTCACACACAGCCCTTACAGCCTCACCCCAGAGTCTCTTCAAAATGTCCTAGTGAGCGCTCTGCTCTGCCTCCCATGTTGCACAGGTGGGGACTCCTGATGCCCACAGCTGAAGATGTCACCAGCTCCTGTGCAGAGCTTGGCTGCATGCTAGCCACCTGCGGTCTCCAGAACCTTGAGACTGCCCCAGGACTAGGGGTGGGCAGCCATCTGCTGTGAGGTTCCAACTCTGTGTCCAGGGCTGAAAAGCGGTCACAGAGTGCGTGTGTGGGTGCTTATATTCTTGTGCATCTGTGGGTGACTAGCCCAGCTATTAAGGTAATAGTATGGCCACAGGAGCATGGGGATGGCTGACAGGTTTGCACCCTGGGGACATGCATGTGAGAGGACCGTCTTCATGGGTGCACATGATAAGGACACAGGTGTGATTGCTTGGGCATGAGGGGTGGGAGGTGTTGTGAGAGGGCAGCAGCATGTCTTTATAGGGAACACGGTGCACAGGCCAGGCCTCACCAGCTCCTAGGAGTGGCTTGCTCTCCCTGTGTCCTGGCGGGCCCCTGTGTCTCTGACATGGGGCTCTCCTCTTGTGTCCCTGCAGGCTACATCCAGAAGATTAAGTCAGGAGAAGAAGACTTTGAATCTCTGGCCTCACAGTTCAGCGATTGCAGCTCTGCCAAAGCCAGAGGAGACCTGGGTGCCTTCAGCAGAGGTGGGCAAGAGCGGGTACACCCGGCCCCTTCCCTCTAGTGTTGGGGTGGTTGGGTCCAAGAAGGGAGGGAAGCCCTACTCTGTGCCTTCCTGGTCCACCAGGTGGCAGCACAGCCCTCAGGCTTCCTGGCCTGTGTTTTTTTGTGCTGCAAAAGGGATATACAACCTCACCGGTCTCTTCCCTCCAGGATCATTGTCCCCCTCACAGGCCCATCAAGGTGACTCTGTTCTGTCATTGCCATCTCCTGATAGAGCTATCGGACGGGATCCCTGAGAACTTCAGGGCTTGTCACCCAGAATCCTATTCTCCCCTTTGGCGGGGGGGGGGGGGGGGACACAGGCAAGCGAGGCAAGGTCAGGACCAGATAGGCAGCCCAGAGCTCAGACTTGTCTGCCAAGGGCAGAGGAAATCAGGATCCCCTCCTCCTCCTCCCTGTCCTTCATCTCCTTGGCATGGGCTGAGAGTGCGAGGTGTGGGCACCTGCCTGGGAGAGGGAGCCTAGCAAAGCCCTCTGCTGTCAGCCCAAGCTCCCTGCAGGATAGATGATGCTCGGCTGGGAACCAGGAGAGTTCATCATGCAGTGTGTCTAAATACACGGCACAGCTCTGCCTGCCATCCTTCATGCTGTCCTTGGGCTTCCCAGAGCCTCCTTAATGGGCCTGTGGCCCTCAGCTGGGCCGCAGCTCAGCACTGCAGTGACAGGGCCATAAACCCTGTGATGAATATGCTTGAGACTAGGTGCGGCAGGAGCCCATCTGCCATGCAACCACGCCTGACCCCCACCACCTCTGCTGTTTCACACAGGTCAGATGCAGAAACCGTTTGAAGATGCATCATTTGCTCTACGGACAGGGGAGATGAGTGGGCCAGTGTTCACAGATTCGGGCATCCATATCATCCTGCGCACAGAATGAGGGCAGGCACCTGGCCAGCCTGCTCGGGCTGCCAAGCAGCCCATGGACGCCCTTCCTGCTACTGTCACACAGTATTTATTGTTCCTAAATGGCTGGGAGAGGGGCTCTGAGATAGGGACTCTGAGCTTCCTGCTCCCTGTTTGACCCCAGTTGGGGCTATCCTAGCCAGGCTCCTTCTGAAGAAATTAACTTCATAAGGGCAATGGGGGTATGGAGGCCCCCAGGCTCAGGGAGTCAGAAGTGACCTGACTCCCCAGATCCCAGAGGCAGGCAGGAGGGCCTTGTTTCTTGTTAGTTATATGCTCCGTTTCTCTGTTCAGTTGCAAAAAGCAGACGCTCCACACCTGGTGATGCAGCAACTCAGCCTCAGGGTGTGATGCAGCGCCCCATGCATCTTCCATTAAATCTGGAACCACTGATTGGTGGTCCTGTATCTCATTACCTTCCTGGTGAGGTGTGGGCCCTGTCTCGGGGAGGGAACTGTCACCCACCATGCCCCAAGAAACCACCTTTTCCAGGGCTTGGGGGTGCTGGCAAGAATTTTTCCCACTAGCTAGACTTCCTGGGCAGCACGGTACCTCTGGGACCCACCAGTCCAGACCCAGTTACGCCAAGCCTCCTGGAGACTGTTCAAGGATACACACACCACCCACACACACATCCCAATTCTAGCTGGTAGGTCTGGAGAGATCCTGGGGGAACCCAGCTCAGCACCTGACTTAGCACACCCCATCCCCTGCACATACAGAGACTGCTTATTGGTGAGAACATATTGCATCCAGCATCTGCCACCCACTTCTGGCTGGTTATTCCTGGGTTCAGCCACCAGACCTAGCACCCTCCAGATGCTGTTTCCGTGGCAACAGAGGCCCCTTCGACTGGAGGAGGGGGGGCTTTGTCAGCTCCCAGAAGAGCAGGGATCCTGGTAGAGGGAGCTGGGGAATGGATGCTGCTTTGAGTGGCAGGTGGGAGGAGAAGGAAGGGGCTCTCCCATTGGCTAGGGGGCCATGTCTCTTCAGACTGCCCCTGAGCCTAGCTTGGCCTGAGGGCTCAGAATTCAATCAGGTCTCTGTCTAACCCACAAGTGATGGGGCCAGCCTGGGTAGTGGTGGTGGCTGCAACCAGTAAGGCTTGGGGACCAGAGCAATATTAAGCCTGGACCCCAAGGGAGCCCTCCCTCCCCACAGGCCTGAGTCTCGTGAACAGTCACCTGAGCCTGCTCCCATCTGGCTGCTTTCTACAGCAATCGCTCTTTGCCAGCTGCCTGCTGGAGCATTTGTCATTAGGAAGGTTTAATGAGTTTCTTCCCATCTCGGCTGAGCTGAGCTGGCTATACCTCCAGCAAAATGTTCTCCAGTGGGCCAGCGGGTACTCAGGCAAGCAGTCGCTGCTTTGCTGTCTTGCAACAGTTGGGTGTGGGGTCGGGAGGCAGTGGAACCCCTCCAAATATCTTTTGGGGCAAAGAGAGGAGCCCTATCCTGGCTTGTAGCAGCAAGAGCTCTGGAACGATCTCCCCAGGGCTGCTGCCACTTCTGGACCACTGCCTGCAAGAGGCAGATATTACCACAGTGGTAATTTGTGCATCCCTGGGTATGACCATGTGACTTGGTAACTGTTCTGTATGATCCCGACCCTCTGTGGGGTCTGTCCTTTTGGACCCCAGCCAACCCCTTCCCTTGTCTCCATAACAGTAGTGAAAACCCAAGACTGAACATTGCTGTTAGATAAATGTTCCCCAGGAGCCCACTCGGTGTCCCCAACATGTATTATTAACTACCTGTGGTTTCCCTCACCTGCTCCAAGTTCCCACCCAGACCTGCTACTGGGAACTGGCTATAAATCCTGGGCCTTTAGGATGGCAACAGTTTAGCATCCCTCCTTCCCTATCGCCTTCCCTCCCTCCCTCCCCTACCCCTACCCCCTCTTTGTGCAGACTCCGCTGCTCATTCTTAATGGGTTCTTCTCAGACCAGACACCGGGGAATCTGGGTTTTTGCTGCAGTAGGGAATGGCAGCTTCCTGACTATAGCCAAATGCTCATCTGTGGTTTAGGGAAAGTTGGTTAATTCAGCACCACATAGCTGAAGACAGACACAAGTGAATCTGGCAGTGATGGATAAGTGATGAGGGTAGGACTGCTCGCTCATCCTTTTGTAGTTATTCAGGTGTGTGTATGCAGTGAGTGTGCACGTGTGTAAGAGTGATACAGCGGGTAGATATGCTGCCAGATGCTCTGGCCCAAGTAAACACTCCGTGCCCACGCGTGACAGACTTGTCCTTGTGGGGACATGTCTCTAGGCACAAGCGTACTCTGCAAAGGCTAGAACTCTGAAGCCTCATTCTCTGTATCTGAGACCACGACCATTTTGAGTACAAGTCACAGGCAGGAGGCATCCAAACTCCTTTTTCTTATTTGGGATTTTGAGACAAGGTCTCACCCAGGTGACATCAGCCTCCCAAGAACTGGGATGACTAGTGGGTGCCTCCATGCCAAGCCTTTGCTGTTTTTAGTGGCATAAAGTCTATCTCCTCATGCTAATCCAGGACTTTAGTCGCCCCCCCCCCCCCAGTGTCACGCTTGTTCACTTACGTGGGAATTAATTGCTCTTTGTGAGGATGCCTTTAGAAATTGGTTTTAAATGAGTGCATTAGGCAGCCCCATTCATTATTCATGGGTTTCCTTCCCAATATGGCATCCAAGTCCAAGTTCCCGGAGATGATTTAATCACAGAGGCCATTAATTAGAGATGGGGACAGCAGCCTCCTGGTGGCCTCAGCAGGGTGGGGTCAGGGTCAGTGGAGATCTTCACATGCTGTTCCTGCTCTGGGTTCAGTGGGCTGACAAGGGGGATGGGGAGGTGGCATGTATCACTACCCCCATTCCAGATGGAAGCCCTGCACATCACTCACTACTGACTCATCCCTCATTTTTTATGACACCTCGGCCCCAGCCTCATCTAGCCTAGTGGTCTTCACCCTTCCTAACGCTGCCACTCTTTAATACAGCTCCTCATGTTGTGGTGACCCCCCAACCATAAGATTATTTTCATTGCTACTTCATAAATAATTTTAGAGATAGAGGTTTGGCAAGGGGTTGAGACCCACAGGCAGATCTGGCTGACATAAAGCCTTCATCGTGCTGTGGCTCTGTTGGCAGAGTGTCTAGCGTGAGTGACCCCTGGGCTCCACCCTCGGTACCACATAAACCCGGCATGGCGGTGGAGGTGGAAGCAGGAGGACCAGAAGCTCAAGGTCATTTTTAGTACAAAAGGCCAGCCTGTGCTCCATGGACACCTGTTTCCTAATTAAGCCTTTATCTTATTCCTGTCCTGCCACCCTCCCTCTGTTTTTGTTGTTTGTTTTTTTTTTTGCGGGGGGGAGGGGGGGGTTAGTGTGCTTTTTTTTGTTGTTTAAACACTGTGAGTAGATTTATTAAGGAAAAATGAGAAATAATTGCTAGGTACAGGAGGTTACCTAAGGAGGAATACCTGACGCCTGCATTTCAGCCTAACCACCTCCCAGGACCGTTCCAGCCTCTTACAGGTGAAAGGATTTTCATGTGGAGTGCAGTGGGTTGCCCCAACCTGGCCCTGTGCACCTTTGAAGTTAGTTTGAATCTTGCTACTATCTAGTATGGCTGGTGTAGAAACGATTCCTGCAATTACAAAGCAGAGAAGAAATTGGGGGACCTAACCTCTCAAAAACAGCCAGACTGTTAAAAAGCCATTAGAACACCCGGACGGCCCAGCAGTGTGCCGTGATAATAGTGAGCCAGCAACCAGGGAGTGTTCATTGAAGACCAGTTTTCACCATCATCATAGAATTCTCTGTTGTTCTGATCCCAATTGCTTTTAAATGAAGTGCTTTTGATTGAAACACCTTTGGATTGAGTGAGCTCCCCTGGGGGCTACCTACCCCGGGGAAGGGGTGTTAAACAGGACTCCACCTCAGGTCACACTAAATAAAGGCACTAAAGGGACTCAGTGGAGCCAAGTCTCCTTCTCTAACCACTACTGGGTACAAAACAACCCAGGCATCAAATGTCAAAGGTCCAGTTTATTCTGGCAACCCGGAAAGAAAATGTGTAAATAATAAATTAAAACAAAAATCCATGCACTCAGATCCAGAGGTACGGAGGGAGTGAGGGGTAAGGAGTGTGTGGGAAACGGGGGGGGGGGGGGGGGGGGGGGGGGGGAGAGGACGGTGTGAACCGAGGGAGAGAAGCATCCATAAAAAGGCAGAAAGACTCAGAAGTGAAGTATCAAAAGCAGAGATCAGTAAACTGGAGAAAATGCATGGATGGGTATACAGAGAACAGAAAGCTGGGCTGGGAAGGTGGGGAGAGAAGGGATCTAGGAGGGAAGGGCATGACCAAGAGAAGGCTGAGGGGTCACAGGCAGTGTGGGAAGGGTCCCCACAGCCTTTGCAGGGGCACCTAGGGATCCCCAGCAGTGCTGATGACATGGAAGAGGGTGACGTTGTACAGCACCTGGTGCCCGTTGTTCCAGGTATACAGGGCCCGTTCCCTGGGATTGTAATCCAGCATGGAGATGTGAGAGTACTGGTTGTGGAAGGGCACATCCGTGTATTCGTAGCTGGACGTGTTGGTGAAGTAGGCAAAGTAGACCTTGGCTCCGGCCAGGTGAGAGTTGGTCACATAGAGGACGCCACAGATCATGAAGGCCTCCCCGGCACTGCGCTTGGGGTACCCGGTGTCCCAGGACCTCACGACCTCCAGGGTGTGAGGGTCCAGCCGGCTGACAACAATGTTGCCCGCATTCTGATTGGTGGTGTACACAGCCCACAGCCCGCTCTCGTCTACCATGAAGTCCATGTCCGAGAAGCCACCCCAGGAATAGGGGAAGGTGTTGTTGTAGCCAGCCCCCGGGAGGCTCCTCTGCACCAACACGGAGCGCGACCGGAAGTGGTACTTGACCACCACATTGCTCTGGTACTTGTTGTAGAACAGAGAGCCGTTGTACACCACATGGCCTGTACCTGCCCATGGCTGCGGCAGCAGGTGCTGGATGAAGTTCTGGCCTTTGATGAAGTCTCCCAGAGTACGGAACTCCAGCACCCGGCGGCCTTTGTAATAACCATCCATGTACCAGACCTACGAGAGCAGCAGCTGGTCACTGGAAAGACTGTAACCTGTGACCCTCCGGGATTGGCCAACCAGGCAAGGTCAACCTTGGTCATCAGCGGTCAACCATCATCCGAATGTCACTACTCAGTCACAGTTTCCCTATGACCTTTGTGACTGGTTATAGTTTGGTGATTGTGAGCATCAGTGGGCCTGGGGAGGTAGTTCAGGGAGTAAAGTGCTTTGCCACTCAAGTATGAGGACCTGAGTTCGGATCCCCAGCACCCACAAAAGAGCTGGGCATAGTGGTGCACGTAGCTGTAACCTCAGTGCTGGGGGAGTCAGAGATAGATCTTTGGATCTCATTGATCAGCCAGCGTAGCCATATTGGTGAGCTGCAGGTTCTATAATAGATCCTGACTGGTTGGGGGTGGGGTGGCAGGGCCAGGAAGATGAGTGGGGAAGATCACCTGCTTTGCAAGTATGAAGACTGAGTTGGAACCCAAAACACATCTAAAAAGCTGGGCATGGCCACATGTGCCTGTAATCCTGGTGCTTTTGAGGGCAGAGACAAGAGGATCACTGGAGCCTGCTGGTTGCCAGTCTAGCTCCAGATTTAGTGAAAGAGTCTGTGTCTAGGGACTAAGACTGGGGGTACAGAACAGGGCACCTGATGTCCTCCTCTGGCCTCTGTGAGTGCACACAAAAGTGTGCACATACACACACACACACTAAAAGGAAAAAGAGACAAGGTGAAGAGCAACAGAGAAAAACATCTCTTGTTGGCCTTGGTCTCCACTTACATTGGCACACACCTGCCTGTTCACACACCTTTATGAACACACACAACAAAAAGATCCTAAATGAGTGGTGTGGTCCAAAGGATCAGGGAGCATTATGCTCCCAGGAGACTCACGGGGGTCACACATGCACTGGACACTGGGTTGAGAGTGCTCACTGAGTAATATTATTGAGTAATAAGGGATCACTTTGAGGTCACTGTATTTTGTTTGGTTGGTTGTGAGTTTTTTGTTTGGTTTTGTTTTGTTTCTTTTTGAGATAGGGTCTTACTATGTAACCCAGGCTGGCCCGGAACTCACTATGTAGATCAGGCTAGCCTTGAGCTCACAGAGATCCACCTGCCTCTGCCTCCCAAGTGCTGGAATTAAAGGGGTATGCTACCATGTCTGGCCCAAATTCATTGTCAGTAGCTAACTCCTGTAAGCATAAGATTGCCTGGCATGTCCTTGAATCTCTTAGCAGCATTATTATCAGCACCATGCTAAGAAGCACTGGTGAATGCCCTCATTATCGAGCTAAGGTCCATTGTTGAAGGACCATGTTGAGGATAAGAAAATTAGAGGAATGATATTAAAGCACCTGCCCAAGTGTCCCTGGCTAAGAATGGACAGGGCTAGATAAGCGCAAATCTGATTCCAAACTAACCAATTGGTTGGACCATCATCATCAGTCAAGGTCAGTGATCAGAGTGGAGTGTTGAGTTATTGCCTGTGCTCTGTGACACTTGGTGATCACCCTTATGATGGTTAGCTATTTAAGATTACTTATTTATATGTTTTATGTCTGAGTACTCTATCTACATGTGTGCCTGCATACCAGAAAAGGGCATCAGATTCCATTACAGATGGTTGTAAGCCACCATGGGGGTGCTGGGAATTGAACCCAGGACTCTGGAAGAGCAGTCAGTGCTCTTAACCTCTGAGCCTTCTCTGCAGCTTGTGATGATTAGCTTTAATGTCAGCTTGAAACAACCAAGAATTACCTAGGAAGTGAGTCTCAGTGAGAGATTGTCTATATTGAGTTGGCCTGTGGGCATGTCTGTAGGGGATTGTCTTGATTGTTCATTAATGTGCGAAGACCCAGCCCATTGTGGGCAACATCGTTCTTTAGACAAGGAGTCCTGAAGTGTATGAGGATGGAGAGGTTGAGCTGAGCACGCGCAAGCAAGAATGTACGCATGCACTTCTCTCTGGTCCTAACTGTGGTTGTGATGTGACTGGCCGTTTTAAATTCCTACCTTGACTTCTCTGCAGTGATGGACTTTGACCTGGTACAGTAAGCTGAACTAAGCCCTTTCTTCCCTAGTTTGCTTTTGTCAGAGTATCTTACCAGCTGCAGAAATGAAGCGGCAGAGGCCAGAGGAGGGCACCGGTGTCCTGCTGTATCGCTCTCCACCTTACTTCTTTGAGATAGGGTCTCTAACTGAACCTGGAGCTGGTGCCAGGGAGCCCCAGGGAGCCCCCGTCTCTGCTCCCCCACAGCGCGGGGGCACATGCCACTCATGGCTTTTTGTGTGGGTACTGAGGATCTGAACTCAGTTCCTCACGTCTGTGCAGCAAACACTCTTGCCCACTATGCTGTCTCCCTCCCTGGCCCCCTGCCATCTTAACCTGTGCAAGTACTCTGCTGTCTACACAACGACAAGATTGCCCAACTGTGCAGTTCTCAGACTGTGTCCGCTGCTGTTAGGGGACACAAGAGTGTAGCCCGCAACCATACCCTCTGGTCAGTAGACACAGACTGACAAGAACAGAAGAACCTCAGTCATGTGGTCACTAGGCAGACGGGGGAGATCCAAGCACCCAGGGACCCGGGATGATGGGCTACACGTGCCTCTGGTGTGTGAGCTGGTGAGATGGTTCAGAGGGTAAAGGTGCCTGCTACCAAGCCTGACAATGTGAGTTCAATCCCCAAGACACACATGGTGGAAGGAGAGAATTGACTCAAGAGAGTTGATCTCTGACCTCCACCCACACGCTGTGTCATCCATGTACACACACACACACTAAATTAATAAATAATAATAATAATATTATTATTATTATTATAAAAGAGTGAGTGGCTGGACATGGTGGTGCACACCCTTGATTTCAGCACTCAATAAGCAGAGACAGGCAGATCTCTGTGTTTGAGGTCAACCTGGTCTACAGAGGGAGACTTAGTCTCAAAAGAAAAAGGAAAAGAAAAAAAAGTCAGCAGTTAAAGGTACTTAGGCTCTTGCCGAGGACCTGAGTTAAATTCCCAGCACGCCTATCAGGTGGCCCACAAACACCTCTAACTCCAGCTCTAGGGCCATCCAGTGCCCTTTCCTGGCCTCCAATGGCACTGTAGTCATGCACACGACCACCCCCATACGCACCCACAAGTAAAATTAATAAGAATAAAACCTAAATAAGAGTCACAAGTGTAGGCGGTCACTGGGTCTGGCCCCTGGGGATGGGATCACTCACCCGGCTGTCTGCACTGGGGGCCATTGTGTCCGTCATCCAGGAGCCGAATCGGGACCCCATGGCCCGAATGGTGATGGGGTTACTGACCCCTGTCAGCTTCCCACAGCCTGGGAGATGGGAACAGTGGGAATGAGGATGGGGTGCAGCAAGAGCTCCAGAGAGGCAGGACGCTGCTCGCATGGGGAGTGTGGGGCCAAGGGTCAGTCAGGGAGGAGACATCCAGGGTGTGATCCTAGGATGTCAACACGCAGAAAGGGCTGGAAATCAAGAGCCAAAACCACTTCCAGCTTTGGGGCCTTGGGTTGGGGAGACCAAACAGGCAGGGTTAGCAGTTAGATACCAAACCATGCCTAGCTTTGGAGCATACAGGTAGCATAAGGGTTGGGTGTGGAGGTCAGGGGCCAAGCTTCGGGGTCAAGGCATACCCAGCTTCTGCGCACAGGCATGGAGTCGTGCCTCCAGGGCCATCACACGCTGCTGCAGGTCCTCGTACCCGTAGGCGCCCATTTCCTCCTGGATGGCAGCCAGGTTGCCAGAAAGGTTCCTCACTTCCTCCCTCAGGCGCACGATGGTCCGTGTGTCTGCCTTGTACTGCTCCAGCACCGAGCTCAGGGGCAGCAGCTCAGTCATCCTGTCCTTCAGTTCCTGCTTGCCAGGAGAGAATGGCCACCGATCCCAACCCCTAAACCTCGGCCCACACCTTCACCCTGTCATCTCAGATGCAATGTTCAGTCCTTGCCAAAGGATGCCTTCCAGACCCCAGAGCCTAGTCCACTCCATTTCTTCCCAGACGTGACCCCATCCGTGGAACTCAGGTCCTCTTGCTTTCACAGCAATCACTTTTACTTCTCTAAGCCACCTACCTCCCCACACCTCTCCAACCATTCTCTTGACCTCTGAACTGAACTCTGAAGAACCCACCTGGAAGCTCTTGGCCGAGACTGACCCATCAGCTGCCCTGAGCCTTGCATCCAGACTCCGCATGAGCGTCTCCATGCTGCGAACATACTGGAGATCCCGATATGTCCTTAACTCCAGGACCTCCATGGATTGAGACACATTCTGGACCTAGAATGAGAACCATTCTGGAGACAAGGTCCTCCTCCCAGCCACTCACAGAAACAGAGGCAAGAAGGACCAGCAAAGATACCCGCCAGCTCTCCTCTCCTTTGATCTCACTGGAAACCTTCCAACAGCAGGTTCCATTCAGTCCCATCCCATCACACCTGTCACCTCCATCCTGTTTCTTGGCTTCCACCCTCCTGACCTGCAGTAAGTTCTCCACACAGCAAGGCAGAGATGTTTTCCAAAATGAAGATCAGAGCCAGGTGTGGTGGCACACACCCATAATTCCAGCACTTGGAGGTAAAGGCCAAAGGATCAAGGGTAGCCTCAAAAGGAGCCAGGAGTGGTGGATCACATTTGTAATCCCCGCACTTGGGAAGCTAAAGCAGGAGGATTGTCACGAGTTCCAGGTCAGCCAAGGCTACAGAATGAATTTCAAGTCAGTCTGGGTCAGAGTGCAACCTTGCCTCTAATAAAAAACAAATGAACAAAAGGCAGAGTTGGGAGGGTACTGGGGCTGAGTCTCAGTGCTTGCCTGGCATGCACAAAGCCCTGGCTTCCATCCCAGCATAAACTGGGTGCAGTGGTGCATACCTGTAATACAAACCACTTGGAAAGTGGAGCCAGGAGGATGAGAAGTTCAAGGTCATCCTTGTATACGTAGTGAGTTCAAGAGCAGCCTAGGCCAATGGCTCTCAACCTTCCTAATGCTGCGACCCTTTAATATGGTTACTCATGTAGTGCTGACCCCCAACCATAAGATTATTTTCATTGCTGCTTCATAAATGTAATTTTGCTACTGTTATGATTCATAATATAAATATCTGTGTTTTCTAATGGTCTTAGGAGACCCCTGTGAAAGAGTAATTCAACATCTCCCAAAGGCATCGAGACCCACAAATTAATAACCACTGGCCTAGGCTATACAAGACCCTGAGATACACATCACCAGTCATGCCAAAAACTATTTTTTTCAGCCACTATGAACAATCAAAGGCATTACATGAAAGTCCACAGTTTTGGGGAAAAGCAATTCCTGTAAGGGGGTAGGCAGAGCAGGATTCTGGGAGTCAGTGGTGGGGTTTCAGGTGCCCAGGTATTCCCCTCTGCCAAATCTCAGTTTCCTCCTCTGTTCAATGAGGGAGGTGGTTGCAGGCATCACAGCTGACAAATGGGCAGTGACAGGGATTTCAGTCAGCAAAGAGTCCAAAAGATCCTGGGGACAGATGAATTGGAGGCAGCCAGGGTGAAAAGGAATCTCATGTGTGCGTGTGCATGTGTGTGTGTGTGTGTGTATACATATCTGTATATCTAAATGTATATGTGTGTATGCATACATATCGTGTATACGTGTTTGTGTGTGCATACATGCCTGTGTGTATATGTGTATATATATATGTGTGTGCATACATATATGTGTATGTAAGTGTGTATGTATGCATATTTATGTGTAAGAATGTATATGTGTGGGTGCATACATATCTGCATAAGTGTGTCTGGAGGCCAGAGACTGATGTTGGTTGTTTTCCACAATCACCCTCCACCTTATTTTTTGAGACAGGGTCCCCAAACCTGGAGCTCATACTTCAGCCAGACTGGTTCATGTTCCCAGCTGCGCCTGTCTCTACCTTCCTAGCACTGGGTTACAGACATACACTGCCAGATCTAGCTCTTATGTAGGTCTGGCTATGCAAACTCAGGTCCATATTACCCATTTGACCCACTGAACCACATCCCTAGCCTCCCCTTCCCCCATTAAAGTATTTTAAATTACATTGATTTGTTCGGTGTGTATCAGAGTACACCTTGTGGGAGTTTATTCTCTCTTCTAACCATGTGGGACCTGGGGATTGAACTCAGGTCGTCGGGCTTGGTGGTGACTCTCCACCCCTCTCCACCTCCCATCCCACAGGATCTTCCTATATAGCCCAGGCTGGACTCAGACGTGCGGTAGCCATCGTGGTGCCTACGAAGTCCCAGGGTTACAGGTGTGCACTGCCACTCACAGCTGCAGAGCCTTTGCGGGAGCCTCGACAGTGCAGGTTAGACCCTGCCTAGCACTGCAAGAACTAGAACTTGGGAAGCAGAAGTGATTGGGTCTCTGAGCTGGAGGCCAGCCTGGTCTACAGAGTAAGTTCCAGGATAGCCAGGACTACATAGAGAAACCCTGTCTCAAAAAATAAATGAATAAAAAATATTTAATAAAAATTAAATATAAAAAAAAAAATAAAAAATCTGAATAGATGGGATCCCAGTCACTGGCCACTTTAGAACAATCTACCTGGCTGGATCTTCTGTGGTTCAGCCCTGATGGTGGTTCAGGGTGAAGTGGGAACCAAGAGACCACCTCAGCCTCCCCCGACCCTGTACCCTCACCCTTGGCTCCTGTCAGGTCCCTACCTTCTCCATGAGCTGCCGAAGTTCTCGGCTCCGACCATCTCGGGCACAGGTGCTCTGTGCAGGGATCACAGCTGTGCAGATGCATTTGCCATCGGGTGCCTGGGCTGAGGTGTAGAGCTGCCAGCCCTCTTCCGGGCTCTGGAAGAGAGTCTGCGGAGGAAAGAGCGTCGTCAGGGATAGGAACCCAAAGAGGGGCTCCCCTCCATCTTGCTGGGGAGGTGGCCTTGCACACACGAGGACCTGAGTTCAGAGCTGAAGAGCCCATGAAAAAAGCCAGGGGTAGAGGCTCGCTGATTCCTGGAAGCCCGCTGGCCATACCGGCCGACGGGACAACTTTGCAGGGCGATGAGAGGCCCTGTCTCAAATAAAAGGTGGGAAGTACCTGAGGAACATCACCAGCTGAGGTCTTCCTCTGATCTCCACACATGTGTATATGTGCGTACCTGCACACACACATGCACACACACAAACAAAGAGAGGTCCCAGAGATGGCTCAAGGGGTAAATGCAACTGTTAGGACCTGAGTTTGGATCCCCACCACCCACATAAACCAGCCACAGTAAAATGTGTCTGTAACGCTAACACTGCTGCATCAAGGCGGGAAGTGCAGTAGGAGACAGCCTGGAAGCTCTCAGACCTTCACCCTGGCGTATACAAGGATAAGCAAGACACTGTCTCAAACAAGGTGGACAGTGGGGACTGAAACCCAAGACTGTCGTTGGCCTGCCACATGCATGTGTGTCTCATGAAGCCCAGGATGGCCTTGAACTAACCATATGTCTGAGGGTGACCTTGTGATCCACTTGCCTCGCCCTCTTGAGTGTTGGGATTACAGGAGTGCACCATCACCCATTTATTGGGTGCTAGGAAAGGAACCCAGGCCTCCTGCATGATAGGCCAGCCTACCCACTGAGCCACAGCCCCAGGAAGGGAAACTTTCAGCACTCTAAATCTCAACGTGCAAAGGGACCTAAGAAGAGCCACTGTTTTTAAAAAGCGGTGACTTTGAACTGGACGTGGTACTGCATGCCTGTAAACCCAACACTTGGGGGCTGAGGCAGGAGGATCATAAGTTGGAGGCTACTTAGAGAGAATGTGCTTCAGTCTAGGGCAGTGGTACACTCCTGTAGTCCCTGCTACTTAGGAGGCTGAAACAGGACGATTGCTTAAGTGTAGGGGTTCTGTGCTGGAGTGTGCCATGCTGAGCATGTATCTGCACTAAGTTCAAATCAACACAGTGATCTCCTGGTAGTGCTTAAGGAAATCCTATTTCAGAAGAAAAAATGTGCTGGGAGCATCTTAAAGAGCAAATATTTGAGCCGGGCGGTGGTGGTGCACGCCTTTAATCCCAGCACTTGGGAGGCAGAGGCAGGCGGATCTTTGTGAGTTCGAGGCCAGCCTGGTCTAGATGAGCGAGATCCAGGAAAGGCGCAAAGCTGCACAGAGAAACCCTGTCTCGAAAAACCTAAAAAAAAAAAAAAAAAAGAGCAAATGTCTGGGTCCAAGGAGACGACTCAGTGGGTAAAAAGCTCGCTGCACGAGCAGGAGGACCCGGGTTTGGATCCCCAGCACCCACATAAAAAGCCACAGTGGGTGGTGCAAGTTCTGGGGGGATGGTTACAGGAGGATATCTGTGCTGTCTAGCCAAGGCTAGCCTCCTTGGTGAGCTCCAGGGTAGTGGGGAGACCTGTCTCAAAAACAGATGAATGGCTCCCGGCAAGCTATGCCTGAGCTTGTCTTGTGGTCTCCACATGTGCACACATGTGCCTGTTGCATGTACCTGTTCGCGCCCACACACATTCTAAGAAGCGGAGGAAACACATACAAAGATATAAATAAGCGAAGATCAAATATTTAAAGCTGTTGAGCAGTACAGACAGAAGAAATGAAAGGGAAAAGGGATGTGGGGGAAGAAAGTGCCATTCAGGGTGTGACTTCAGGTGTCACTAGCGTGCAGACTGCAGGAGATGAGGGAGACATCACATGTACGGAAAGGTGTTCCAGGCAGGAGGAACAACAGGGTCAAAGGCCTGAGGCAGGATCACGTACCTGGGTGACCAGAGCAGAGTGAGCAAGGGGCTGAGTGAAGGGAGACCAGGGTGGGGAGGGGACAGTGTGACAGTGACAAAGCTGATAAGCTGAAGCCAGGACTTTAGCTCTGGTCTGAGTTCTGAGGGTTCTAAACAGAAGAGATGCACACTGACTTAGGTACTCACAGAAGGGTCCAGCTCAGTAACTGCTCAGGTCTAGGTAAAGTAGTGAGTAGCGGCCATGAGTTGAGAAATGGAGAAGTCTGGTCCTGTCTAGCATGCTTGTTGTTTTGAGACAGGAGCTCGTATAGCCCATGCTGGCCTTGAACTCCCTATTGTAGCCAAGGATGATGATGAAATCCTGATCCTCCTGCCTCCACCTCATGAGCTGTAGGCTGACAGTCATGTACTGCTATGCTCAGTTCATGCAGTGCTAAGAAGGAACCCAGGGCTTTGTACACGCTGGGCAAGCACTCCGTCCACCAAGCCCAGCCTACAGTGTGTCCTACCACAAGTGTTTTCTGGAGAAGCAAGCAATATAAAATCCATCATTAGCATGACTGTTACTGCTCCCAAACAGAGGCACAATACCCAGGAGCTAAGGCAGAGGTAAGCCAGGCTGAGTCGGGAGCAATCGTGGGGACTCCTGCTGCACACTGCCTTCTCTTCCCACTCAATAAATTCTTTTATTGAAGTGTGAGCAAATAAGCTAACTACACAGTGAGCTCCACTCCTCACTAATTCATAAGGAAAATAACCCATTCACAGACCATGGTAATGAGTCAGGCGGTGCTTATATACACCCTGCCTAAATCGCAGGACTGCCCTCCATAAGAGCCCACATGACCTTCCTTGGATGGACTCTCGTTCTCAATTTTTTGTTTGGCTTTACAAATTACATTTATTTATTTATTTATTTATAGTGAGAGTGTGCATGTGTGGGAAAGTATGTGCCACAGAGAGCATGTGCAAGCCAGGAGTCAACTTGCAGACTTTCTTCTCCATTTCCACAGTGTGATTCCCGGGAATGGCACTCGGGTAGTCAGGTTTGGTGGCAAGTGCCTTTATCCTCCGAGCCGGCTCACCTACAACCTTCTTACTCTTGCTGGCATTTAGAGTTAAGCAGAGTGAAGGCTCATACAGCAGAAGCCAATGAGGTGGCCTCCCAGAGGGTTGATAGACTAGTAATGGCAGCTGGGGGAGGGGCGAAGGAGGCCACACCCATCTCTGAGGGTTGATAGGCAGTTAATGGCAGCTGGGGGAGGGGCTAAGGAGGCCACACCCATCTATGAGGGTTGATAGGCAGCTAACAGCAGCTGAGGAGAAGGAATCTCAACATTGTCCCTGCCTGGGTATTAACAGGAGAGGAAGAGACCTTCTTCAGCGGTGTGGTAAGGAGTCCACAGCCCTGTCAATAGCTCCTCACCCACACTCTGTAAGCAACCCCCATGAAACTCACTGGGTCACACACACGCACACAAGTCATGAAAGTAGAAGGGGGTGCTGGTTGGGAGGAAGAGTGGGAGGGGACAAGAGAGGGTGATGGGATGGAGATGATTAAAGTACATCACGTGTGTTATGAAATGTCATAACCATTATTATGTATAATATGCTAATAAAAACTTATAGAAAAATGCAGTGCCCTGAGTGCCCCAACTAGGACCCCCGAGGCTGTCACAGTTCCCTCTGTCTGTACTCAGAAAAGACGCTCCTAAGGTCCTCACCCCCAGGTCCTAGTGAGTCATGCCTCTCCTGTGCAAGAACTCTTGTTTTGTTTTGTTTTCTGTGTGTGGGTGTTTTGCCTGCACGTATATGTCTTCAGCCCCCTGGAGCTGCCATGTGGGTGCTGGGAATTGAACCAGGGCCCTTTAGAAGAACAGCAGTCAGTGCTCTTAATCACTGAGCCAAGCCTCCAGCCCACTGTGGGAGAGCTCTAAACGTTTGTTTTGTTTTGTTTTGGTTTGGTTTGGTTTGGTTTTTTTCAAGATAAGGTTTCTCTGTGTAATAGCCCTGACTGTCCTGGAACTTGCTTTGTACAACAGGCTAGCCTTGAACTCACAAAAATCCAACTGCCTCTGCCTTTCCTGCTCAGACTAAAGGTGTGCACTACCACACCCAGCTACCTGTGGGAGAACTCTTGATTCTGTTTTGTTTTGTTTTGTTTTGTTTGCTTTGAGACAGGATTTCATGTAGACCAGGCTGGCCTCAAATGCACTATGTAGCCAAGGATGGACCTGGGTCTGACACCTCTGGAGTTATGCGATGACAGGCAAGTGCCTTCATGCCTGGTTTCCATGGAAGAACTCATGGTTACTCTAGGATACCCTCACTGAATCAGGAGGGCTGGGCTGCCATATCTGGGGCTGCTCATAAACTCTGGGTCCATGGACTCATTTTTCTGCACTCTCCACAAGTGCCCCCAGTAAACAAAACTGTTCCATACCAGACTAGTTTCAAGAGTGCCTGCACACTACACCCTGTAAAACCCAGTGTGGTGGCCTATGCTTTGCTTCCATGTGTGTCTGTGCCCCACATGCATGCCTGGAGAGATCAGAAGAGGGCACAGGATTCCATGGAACTGTTGTAGCTTCCAGCTGCCATGTGGGTGCTGGGAATTGAACCCAGGTCCTCTGCAAGAGCAGCCAGTGCTCTTAACTGCTGAGCCATCTCTCTAGCCTCTTTTTACTTTTTATTCTGAGACAGTCTCGCTAAGTTGCCCAGGCTGGTCCTCTTGTATGCTCCCTGTATCCAGGTACTGGTAGTACAGGCTTAGTCCACCAGGCTCAGCCAGGAGCCCCACCTAACCCAGGGAAGATGGCCACAAAAGGTTCCCCTGCTCCCTGAAGAAAGCACCATTGCTTAGTCTCCTTTCAGAACAAATCCAGTTCTTTCAAAACTGAACAATGAACAGGAGTGCAAATGTCTATCCTCCCACTGGCTCAGGTCCCCAAGCAATTAGGCTAGAACTCCCCCCAAAGACTCTCATTTATGCACAAACAAGCAGCCCATGCACATAATTAGCATCTCCGGCCTGTGTCTCCTAGCATGTCCTTTGAAGCAAACAAGACTTCTCCCAACATATGAAATACTGAATTGTAAAAGAGAAGCAAGCATCATGAA